TATTCATGACTAGATCCATCATGAATTCGAAGATTGAAGATTTTCTTTTACGACTTCTCTTAAGATCCTTAGATTGCACGGCTCCTTTTTATTGAATCTCATATATTATGCTTAGACGAAAATTCTAGAAATCGTAACATTTTATCGTTATACTCGTTTCCGCTTGATATTTAAAATTCAATCTAGTCACGTCCGTTGATTGATAAAGTTCGAACAAAAACTGTGAGTTTAAAATAAAGTGATAGTATTGTTTTTATGCATTGATTATAAAGAGGACCATCCTTTCAACTTGTAATCTTCAGAGAAATCGAAAACCTTCTGCCTTTGAGCTGATGGAAAATTGAAGAAAAATCTCTCTCGTTCTCGTTACTATCAACTTCGGATAGTCGTGGGCACCGAGACGAGATAATTAACACTTCTTGTTAAACCTACGTAAAGTGTGTTTAAATATTTTTGGAAACTTTCTCTGATAATACTATGCCATGATATTGACGTTCGCATGAATATATTTCGTCCCTTTAGTTTTAATGAGCCAGCAATGTCTTTTTTTACTGTTCTTTTTTTTTTGCCAAGTAACATAAGGCTCGGTTGTACCATAAATCAAGATGTCATTCGAAACTCCCGAATATAATAAAATGGTGAAAAAAATCAAGTTGTAGGATTTTATTGTAAAGAGGTAGCTTCAATTTTTAACTCTATCTAAAATTAGTTACGAAAAAAAATTTCTCAATATTTCATCATCGAGAAAAGAAACGCTTTTTAATCATGTAAAATTCTTAAAGTAAAATAAAGCTTTATTGTTGTATAATTTTCTTTTTTACGACATTGTAACGGTTTAAATATTTAGTATCCTAATATTAATATAAATAATAATTTATGCTGTTAATTTATACTAATGTGAGTAATATTAATGTGAGTATAGCGTTTCGGAAAAAAATTGTATTTAATTTGTTAGATGTTTTGATCGCTGATCTGCGAGTCTGTTGCGACTATTGTTTTGCTAATTATTTTGAAGCTTGAATCGCCGTTAAGGCTCTGATCCAAGAGCTGTAAACTTCTTTCCCACCACAGGCCGCCAAGAAAATAGAATTGTTCAAAATCTTTGCTTGACAAAAAAATCAGTTGGACCTATGTGATAACTAAAAGAGCAAACTTGGCTTATCCCGCCCTCAAAAGACTATACCTGCTATTCTCTAAAAACAGCAAATTTGGAACCAATATTGAACTACACTTGTAATATGCGTCAGGCTAATACATATAGCCACCAAATCTGGGCAACAAAGTCTCACATCTGCAAGATCCAAGAAATTCAAAATAAATTCCTATGCGTCATCCTTTACAAACCGTACGAAAAACCCGTCAGCGTATTTCACGTACCAGCAAATTTACAAACAAATTTACAAATAATTCAAGATCATATTGCAAACTCATTTGAAACCGTCTATTCAGAGTACCAAAATCCACTGATCAGCCAAGTAGGAAATTACAACGACGAAACGTCGACGAGATACCACTCTCTTTCTTAAAAATCAAGAAAAGACTACCGAAAAACACGCAATGTCACAATATAAACCCGAGAAGAATCACACTTCACAAAGAAATGAACAAAAATATGCAAGTTTTTTGAAATTTTTCCTTCTTCCCCACCAACACGCTATCTCTCCAAAAGGTATCCATTCAACTGACCCCATCATTTTTATGCAGGTTAAAGGATCAGCAAATCCCAGACACTGCAAATAAATGAACCACAAGCAAAAAAAAAAATTCCGTAACAATAAATATATAACCTAGTAAATCGCGATGTAACGAAGACGCAACATCACTTACCGTAGATTCTCAAATAGAGAATGTACTTTTTCATGAGCTGATAGAATAGAAAAAAATACAAGTTTCCTACATAAAAATACCAATAATCTTGAAAGAAACATTAAAAAATGATATTTAAAAAAAAGATTCTTCCATCCTATTTTCTTGAACCAGTTTAAGTTACATCAGAAACGATTTCTGTACTATCACTAATAGAAAAGATATTTGGGTGGCCAGGTTTTCGTGAAATACCACGTATTATATAATTTAAATAAAAATATGTTGCCTAAAAAATTTGACTCCCTATTTATTATCAGTAAAATTTCTATAAAATCATCGAGTGAGACTTTCAATTGAAAAAGGAGGAATTTGTTATAAATATATATTAAGAAGCTTTATAACGAAAATATCGAAGAAAATATCGTTTATTGCCACGATCGATCAGATATTTGTGTGATTTTCATCTACAGACTGTATATAGAAAGAGTAAAACAGATACACATTTATCTAGGGCTAGGTTCAAACAATCTTCTACAGAGGAAACTGTACGAATGAAAAAGCTGTACCATGACAACTGCACTCTAGAAATATTTGGTTTTTCAAATTTATTCGGTCCTGGTCCAGAAATTCCTCGGTGGCATATCGATATGAATACTTGAGTTATTAGAGAGGAGAAAGTAAGGGACATCAATTATAAAATTTTAGCTTCAAACATTACCCTTCAAGATATATTAATAAATATATTTCTGTACAGTATAAAAAACGTATATATTTCTATATAATATTATATTGGATAGAAAGTTGTAATGAAAGAGCGGCAAAAGAAAACTAGCGTTCACTTATAACTTTATTAATACAAACAATAACAACTTTGTAACAAAAAAGCGGATATTAAACGCAAATTACTTGTACAAAATATAAAAAATTATTTTATTATAATAATTATAAAAATTATTACAAAGTAATTATTGATATTTATTTTCTATGCTGTTTCATGAAATTCAGAATTTTATCGTATACCAAAATGTTTACATTGTTTCCCCATAGGAAATCAAAGTGCGCGACATTGTCGATTTGTATCAAAGATTTTTGACCATTGGGTAATGTTTCATACAATTCCTGAATGTCTCGTAAAATAATTGTCAGGGAAGAAAATATTAAAAAATTCAAGACCAACTGAAGATTCGTTATATCGACGCTATACAAATCTGAGGAGTGGCAGCTACATCATTGGTAATACAAATTCACTGATACCGAGACACTGCCGAGATTATAATCAGGAGGTTGTTCCTGGCCATATTTTTTCATGTTATTGGCAACGCCATAGTCATTTGCGAAACTTGCCTGAAAGAAAAGAATACAACGTGAGAAAAATTTTATAAAATTCTATTCACCTTTATGTTTGATTATTAAATGTTAACCTGATTGAATCGATTGTTCATAATGTGCAAATTGTCTAATAGATGCGCCAGCAGGATCGTATTGCGAAACAAGAAGCAACACACTATGAATTCAAATCAAGTTCAGTTGAAATATAGTACATGTAAATATTAATTAATAAATAATGTATTATTATTTGCCCCTGCTTGCCTTATAAAATTTCCGTCGTAGCTAAAAGCTAGGTCAAAGATGCGTTTACTCACTGGCAGCAGAAGTGATTGCTCAGGCCATATTATCTTCCCAAGCATACGTAGAAATGTGCTGCTTAGCTTAAACTGATATATGCCCAAAAAATTCAATATCAACTGTAAAAAAATTAAAAGCAAAAATATTCATTGTGGTTTCTGATAAAATTAGTAATTTTACTAGTTGTTTTGGAAATTAATAATATCATAAAATTGAAAATTTTCGCAATTAACAATAAAACTAACAATACTTTAATAATAAATTTTAACAATAATTAGTAATATTAGTAATATTAAAATTATATTTTGAATCATACGTTGTCATCGGCTACAAAGCACAGCATCCGGAAAAGAGAAGTTCCTGTTGTAGACATGAAGACTGCTGGAACTAAAGCAGGAAGAGCGATAACTTTCTCTTGATACTCTGGTCGTTTGCTAGCCAAAGAACAAGGCACCACCCTGGCTATGCATTACTAGAAAGATCTTCTCCTGCTTTGTTTGTTCGACAATGTGATCAATCATCGCTGGGAGATCGTATATTCCAATTTCATTCCAACTGTACGAGCGTATCAGTTATTGTCAAGGTACAATGACTTAATCTTTAAGCACAAATCTCGATGAATAGTTATACCTGAACATCCAGTATTCTGCATCTGAAGCGGTCAGGTTAAAGTGTTTCCGCGAGAATCTGTTACCGCGCACATTGGCTATACAGCCATACGTCGTATGCTTGGTCGGCTAATATATAGCCTAAATTTTGAAAAGAATGATTGATCAGTTATTCTGTCGTTTATCATCGACATTGGCAGTGTCAAATTGAAAAAGAAAATAGAAGAATAAAACGAGATTATATTTAACAAGAGCAGTGAATAGATGTAACATATATTTCAAAATAAAAGATTGAAAGATAAAAAAGTGTCTAATTGACAATTAATATTAATCATTAATATTATGTACGCAGATAAATACGAATTTTAAACTTTCTTTCGTTCAACAATTTCTAAAAAGAAAGAAGGACAAATGGTTTATTTGACAATATCCAAACCAACTTCAGGCCTGATACAAGCCACGTAACCGAACAGTCTAAAATTCCACGAAGAAGTAATACAATTCTTTTTTTATTATCCTACGGAAGACATTTCTTCGATCCAGCTACTCTATCCATTTGCAAGATGTACCCATCCTGTGTGACAACTTCATAAGTTTCGGCTATATATCCCGCTTTTTGCGCAATTTCTGTCTAAAAAAATGCTCACGACATATATATATATATATACGTGATTTTAGTTGTCTAGGAATAAAAGTAAATACATAGAAATATATAAATAAAGTAATAAAGTAATTAAATTAATTAAAATGTCAAAACTTTAGGAAAATTATTACGTCATAAATGATTTCTATGAGTCCCAATAATTCGTATGTAAATAATATTTTTTATAACTGCTGTTTCGAAAAATATAAAATTTGCTTAAGTATAACGAGAAAGTGATGACAATTATCAATAAAATTTACTTACAGAGGTTAAAACTTGATTGTTAAACAATACATCACAAGTTTCATTTGCTTCACACTATCTTAAATAGAATACTCCTATGGTTATTAGCAACACGCAACACAAAATAAATTTGTTGTTCATTATCGTGGATGATTCGTGTTTAACTAACTGCTAGTTATTTCGTATGCTTTTGTTGCAACTTACTCGTAGCTGCACAGGCTGTCAAGTGACGTCTGAATATTGAAAGATATGTTTTATTCCATAGTAATGAACTTGTCTAACTGACAATGAATGATGAATTTTACTTGTAAATGAAACTATTTTACTTGGTGAAAAACTATGCACATTCTTTATTACTTCTTTTGATTACTCTAACGAGTTCGAATTAATAATTAATAATTAACGACGAAAACAGTTTCGTAAATAAATACAAAGCAAGATTGATCGCAAGAGAACATGCACAACATAAAGAAATAGACTACGAAGAAGTTTTCGCCCCTGTTGTACGGTACGAATTAATAAGAACATGTGAACAATTATGAAATACACGTACATCGCATGGATA